TCAGTAACAGATTCTGTGTCCATGAGTGAACAATTCTGTGTCCCTCAGTAACGATTCTGTGTCCCTCATGTAACGATTTCTGTGTCCCTGAGTAACAATATCTGTGTCCCTGAGTAACAAAGTATGTGTCACTGAGTAACCAATTCTGTTGTCACGCTCAGTAACGATTTCTGTGTCCCTCAGTAACGATTCTGTGTTCCCTGAGTAACCAATTCTGTGGTTCCCTTGGAGTAACGATTCTGTGTCTGTCCCTGAGTAACATTCTGTGTCCTGTCCCTGAGTAACAATTTCATGTGGTCTGTCCCTGAGTAACGAATTCTGTGTCCCTGAGTAACAATTCTGTGTCCCTGAGTAACGATTCTGTGTCCCTGAGTAACGATTCTGTGGCCCCTAAAGTCTCTGTGGCCCTAACTCTGTCCCTAATACAGACAGGTCATGTCTCTCCTTGAATGGAATGGAGGCTAATGGCAGAATTCTAAGATGGCCGCGATTTATAGCTCCACCATTACCCAGTGCTGGCTGGCTGGCTGCTGATTGGCTAATGCAGTGGTGGGCAACCTTTTTTTTCAACTGAGCCAAATCTCGCCAAAACCATGATTGAATTTTATTTTGAGAGCCACATTTTTAAAACTGAAAATACATCTCCCATATAGTAATTCATCCCCCATAGTAATTCATCCCCCATATAGTAATTCATCCCCCATAGTGTAATTCATCCCCCATAGTGTAATTCATCCCCCATAGTAATTCATCCCCCATAGTAATTCATCCCCCATATAGTAATTCATCCCCCATATAGTAATTCATCCTCCATATAGTAATTCATCATCCCCCATAGTAATTCATCCCCCATATAGTAATTCATCCCCCATAGCAATTCATCCCCCGTATAGTATTTCATCCCTCGTATAGTATTTTTCATCCCCGTATAGTATTTCATCCCCCGTATAGTATTTCATCCCCCATATAGTATTTCATCCCCCATATAGTATTTCATCCCTCATATAGTATTTCATCCCCCATATAGTAATTCATCCCTCATATAGTATTTCATCCCTCATATAGTATTTCATCCCCCCATATAGTATTTCATCCCTCATATAGTATTTCATCCCCCCATATAGTATTTCATCCCTCATATAGTATTTCATCCCTCATATAGTAATTCATCCCCTCATATAGTATTTCATCCCCCCATATAGTAATTCATCCCTCATATAGTATTTCATCCCCCCATATAGTATTTCATCCCCCCATATAGTATTTCATCCCTCATATAGTAATTCATCCCTCATATAGTATTTCATCCCCCCATATAGTATTTCATCCCCCCATATAGTATTTCATCCCCCCCATATAGTATTTCATCCCTCATATAGTAATTCATCCCTCATATAGTATTTCATCCCTCATATAGTATTTCATCCCTCATATAGTATTTCATCCCCCATATAGTATTTCATCCCCCCATATAGTATTTCATCCCCTCATATAGTATTTCATCCCTCATATAGTATTTCATCCCCCCATATAGTATTTCATCCCCTCATACAGTAATTCATCCCTCATATAGTAATTCATCCCCCATATAGTATTTCATCCCTCATATAGTATTTCATCCCCCCATATAGTATTTCATCCCTCATATAGTAATTCATCCCCCCATATAGTATTTCATCCCCCCATATAAGTATTTCATCCCCCCATATAGTATTTCATCCCTCATATAGTAATTCATCCCTGATATAGTAATTCATCCCCCATATAGTATTTCATCCCCCCATATAGTATTTCATCCCTCATAAAGTAATTCATCCCCTCTCATATAGTATTTCATCCCCCACAGTACTATTCCCCCCCCCCCCCCTTCTAGTAAGCCAAGTCCCCCGTGTCAATTCACTTACCTTTTGCGTTCCTCTCGCTGTCTTCCCCGCGCCGTTCGGGTCTTCAGGGCGGACTGTGAGAGGAGCCTAGCTCCCCTCCCCACACGTTCGGCACGCTGCCCCGCCGCCTACACACATCCTGACAGCCACATCCGCAAGCCGGATTAAAAGGTCCGCGCGGACTTTTGGGGCTGCCAACCGAGAGGAGGCAGGGGAGCGGCCGACCGAGAGGAGGGAGGGGAGCAGGCGCCCGGCACACAGAAGAGCCGCATTAGACTGGGTAAAGAGCCGCATGTGGCTCGCGCGAGCCGCGGCTTGCCGACCACTGGGCTAATGCGATCACACATGTCATGAATGAATGCATTATGGGTCAGCGCGCCTTGTCTGCGCGCCTTCCCAGAGATCCCCGCTCCGTCGCCACACATGTCGCCGCCATTTTTGGGAAAATTCGATTCGTGCATCCGAAGTTTTGCTAATTTTCGGATTCGGCGCGAATCGAATTTTTCCTAATCTTCGAAACGAATTCCACTTCGTCAAGTTCGATTCGCTCATCTCTAATTGGTATCACAAGTGTGTAAAAATCTCTTGTGATGACAACAAGCAGCGACAGATCCCCTTTACTGACATCTGGGGTGTATTAGACCCCAGATGCCTCCTTTGTCCTTGCCAGCTTTGGATCAAACTTGGAGCTTTTTGATCTGAAGCTTTACTAAGCCAGCAATGGCCGGTAAACAACAGACAGAAGCCAGAAGTGAGGAAATCCTCATCACTTCTGGTTTCTGACATCACTTAGTGGGAAGAACAACATCTGTTCCTCCCGCTGTGTTTCAGGAAAGGGTTGCCACCGGATGCATTCCTTACTGGGCATCCCAATCACATGGAATGGCCCGGTAAAGGTGGCGGGAGGAGCGATTACTTTTTAGTTTGTGCAGAATTACTGACCCTAAAGAATGTTATAGCGATCTTCAGCAACGACCAAGCTGTCCCCCATCCCATCCAAGCACATTCAAGTACATCCTATGGATGGGGAGTGGTGAAGGTGAACCTGTGCTTTTACCATGCAGACAAAGCAACATGTTCCCTTGCATACTGCAGCCCTTCACAGCAGCATATACTTACCTTAAAGCGGAGTTCCAGTGAAACTGTAAAAAAATAAAACTCAGCAGCTACAAAAACTAGCTGCTGACTTTTAAAAAAACAGCAGCCGCTCACCTGTCCCTCGATCCCTACAGCCCATTTCACTGGGCATCCAGTGGTCCCGGTGCCTACATGTTCGGGGTGGGCACTGGGCTGTGACAGCTTGCGGCTTCACAGCAATGTACATGCGTGAGTGGTGCTGCGCTTTCTGATTGGTCCCGTAGTCTTCTGGGACTTGTCACGGGTGTCAGGAGAATACGGGAGGGAGGGGGGAGGACAACTTCCGCTTCCAATTGCATAAGGAATCACAGTGGGGTACCTGTCAAATTCGGGTACCCGCTCCCCAAAGGTGCCAATCCTTAATGGGGAGCGGGGGAGCAGTCACTAAAGCGGAACTTCCCCTTTTGGGTGGAGCTCTGCTTTTTTTTTTCACTTCCACACTGATCCGTTCAGCCTCTGGGAGAAAACCAAAGGCCCTGTGAGAGGTACAAGTCACTGGAGTTGTAGCTCACACAAGGCTGTGGCCCTGTGTGGCATCTCTGATTGGCCCTGAACTGCCACATGGCTAAAGCTGGCCATAGATAGAATTTTGAATTAAAATTCTTAGGAAAAGAAAAGTAGTACAAATATTCTCAGAACATTTGAATGTCATTCGAAAGATTTCACTTGCTTTTAACATTTGGCTTTGGAATGAATGAACTTCACCAAACAAAACAACACATACACTGTACATACACTACAACATTTCCATCCTGTTCCTTCAAATTTCTTTGTCATTGTGGTTGAAAAAGAAAGTTGATTTGACCCTACTAATATTTAGAAAATTGAACAAACTTTCTTAGAACATTCTCTCCCTAAGAACTTTCGTTCAAATGTTTGCCCATCTATGTCCAGCATAAAGCTGAGTTCCAGTTGAATAAAAAAAAATAAAAGTCAACAGTAACAAAAACTGTAGCTGCTGACTTTTAAAATACAGACACTTACCTGTCCCGGTCCAGTGGGGTCCTCACCACCGCTGGCTTCACCGGCCGTCTTCTCTCTCCGGCACCCAGCATCCTTAGTTTGGGCACCCGGCTGTGACAGCTTGCCGTTTCACAGCCGGGTGCCCCACTGCGCATGCGTGAGAAGCACTGCGCTTTGTGAATGGCCCCGTAGTCTTCTGGGACCTGTCACGTGTCCCAGAAGACTATGGGGAGGGAGGGGGGAGGACAACGTCCGCTTCCGATCGCCGTAGGTGATCGCACCAGAAGTTAGAGCGGGTACCTGTCAAATTCGGGTACCCGCTCCCCAAAGGTGCCAATCCTTAATGGGGAGCGGGGGGACAAAGCATTAAAGCGGAACTTCCCTTTTTGGGTGGAGCTCCACTTTAAGTCACTTGCACCTCCATACCTGAAAGTACCAGATATTTCGGTTAGCTCCTGAAACAGAAGGGTGGGGCAAAGGAAACATGAGTATATGCTGCTAAGGATAGGGGGGGAGGACTGAAGCAAAGTTTTAGCTTGAAACTTTATGTGTGCAAATTTTAGAACAATTACTATTGAATTGCTGGATTTATTTATCATCAATTACTGATTATCTGTATCTGTCAAACACAGAATGCAATAAACAAACTAAGAATAATCCTGAACTAAAAAAAACATGCTGCATGAAAGAATGGAAAACTATTCCAAGGGAAGAATAAATACATTTGTCAGGTAGAAATATATAACATTTAATTTGTGAAAAAGGGTTACCCAAACGTTTGCATGTGCTACACAATGTGAATTCAGATAAAATGTTACCGGTAATTGTTATTTCAGTTTTTGCAGAAACATGTCTATTTGCTGCACGTAAAAAGGTTTTGATGAGTCTTAAAATTTGAAATAAATACTTTTTATTAAAAAGCAAATAATGAATATTAACAGTTTATTTTTTATTTCATCATTTAGATTATATGTGCATCCTGATTCTCCATTCACTGGGGAGCAGCTACTGAAGCAAATGGTTTCTTTTGAGAAAGTCAAGCTCACAAACAATGAACTGGACCAGCATGGACATGTAAGTGTGTACATACTGATGGAAGGTCATATACAGTGCAGACACCAAAATAACACCAGCGCCATCCCAGAGGATTGCATTACTCACCCAACCACAAGTGCTTGGACAGATAAAAATTTGGAGAGGATAGAAGTATTCATGTGTGATATGATTAGAGGAAGACGCATGCACAGCTTTTCAAGCAACAGAGATAGTAGCGTGTCTTGTTAATTGTCAGACATTCAGCACATATGTCTATAGTATTTGTAGCGTTAACACAGATATCCTTCATGTGCTGTATTGTATGTTTAGCTTTCCACACTGACAACAAAAAAGATATTACAAAACCATAAAGCATATATAGGTTCTTCAAAAAGTCTCCGCACTTTTTTAACATATATAATATATAAACCTTTTTGAAGTCCATATACTGTATATATATATATATATATATATATATATATATATATATATATACAGTTGCAAGAAAAAGTATGTGAACCCCTTGGGATTCCGTGGAGTTTTGCATGAATTGGGCATAAAATGTGCTCTGAACGTCCTCTAAGTCACAACAATAGAAGAACACAGTCTGCTGAACATAATACTACACAAACATTAGATGTTGCCATGGTTTAATTGCACATAACATGTAAACATTCACAGTGCAGGGAGGAAAAAGTATGTGAACCTTTGGACTTAATAACTGGTTGACCCTCCTTTGGCAGCAATAACCTCAACCAAACGTTTCCTGTAGTTGCAGATCAGACCTGCACAACGATCTGGAGTCATTTTGGACCACTCCTCTTCACAAAAACTGTTTCAGTGTAGCAATATTCTTGGGATGTCTGGTGTGAATCGCTCTCTTAAGGTCATGCCACAGCATTTCAATCGGGTTGAGGTCAGGACTCTGACTGGGCCACTCCAGAAGGCGTATTCTGTGCTGTTGCAGCCATTGTTTTGTTGAATTACTTGTATGCTTTGGGTCATCATTGTCCTGTTGCATCACCCATCCTCTGCGGAGCTTCAGTTGGCGGACAGATGGTCGTACGTTTTCCTGCAAAATGTCTTGATAAACTCTGGAATTCATTTTCCCATCAATGACAACAATCCGTCCAGCCCTGAGGCAGCAAAGCAGCCCCAAACCATGATGCTCCCTCCGCCATGTTTCACAGTGGGGATGAGGTTTTGATGTTGGTGTGCTGTGCCTTTTTTTCTCCACACATAGTGTTGTGTGTTCTTCCCAAACAACTCAATCTTGGTGTCATCTGTCCGCAGTATATTTTGCCAGTAGTGCTGTGGAACATCCAGGTGCTCTTTTGCAAACTTCAAACGTGCTGCAATATTCTTTTTGGCCAGCAATGGCTTCCTCCGTGGTGTCCTCCCATGTACTCCATTCTTGTTTCATGTTTTCCTTATTGTAGATGTGTCAACAAAAATGTTAGCATGTGCCAGAGATTTCTGTAGGTCTTTAGCTGACACTCTGGGATTCTTCTTTACGTCATGCAGCATTCTGCGCTGTGCTCTTGCAGTCATTTTTACAGGACAACCACGCCTAGGGAGAGTAGCAACAGTGCTAAACTTTCTCCATTTGTAGACAGTCTGTCTTACCGTGGACACATGAACATCAAGGCTTTTGGAGACACTTTTGTAACCCTTTTCAGCTTCATGCAAGTCAACAATTCTTGATCGTAGGTCTTCTGAGAGCTCTTTTCTGCGAGGCATTATTCACATCAGACAGTGCTTCTTGAAACCAGTAAACCCAAAACAGGTGTGTGTTTTTTAAGGGCAGGACAGCTGTCAGCAACACTTCCAATATCATCACACTGATTGGAGTCAAAGTTGGCTCACTCCTGGCTCCAATTAGCTCTGGGAGAAGTCATTAAGCTAGGGTCTCACATACTTTTTCCTCCCTGCACTGTGAATGTTTACATGTTATGTGCAATTAAACCATGGCAACATCTAATGTTTGTGTAGTATTATGTTCAGCAGACTGTGTTCTTCTATTGTTGTGACTTAGATGACGTTCAGAGCACATTTTATGCCCAATTCATGCAAAACTCCACGTAATCCCAAGGGGTTCACATACTTTTTCTTGCAACTGTATATATATACACACATTATATTTCCAAATGTATTGGGACACCTGGCTTTACACGCACATGAACTTTAGTGGCATCCCAGTCTTAGTCCGTAGGGTTCAATATTGAGTTGGCCCCGCCCTTTCCACACACATGACCTTTAATGGCCCCCCCAGTCTTAGTCCCTAGGGTTCAATATTGAGTTGGCCCCACCCTTTCCACACACATGACCTTTAATGGCCCCCCAGTCTTAGTCCGTAGGGTTCAATATGGAGTTGGCCCCGCCCTTTCCACACACATGACCTTTAATGGCCCCCCAGTCTTAGTCCGTAGGGTTCAATATGGAGTTGGCCCCGCCCTTTGCAGTTATAACAGCTTCAACTCTTCTGGGAAGGCTGTCCACAAGGTTTACGAGGGTGTCTATGGGAATGTTTGACCATTCTTCCAAAAGCACATTTGTCAGGTCAGGCCTGGCTTGCAGTCTCCACTGTAATTCAGCCCAAAGCTGTTCTATTGGGCTGAAGTCAGGACTTTGTGCAATGATGTATTTCAAATAATTCAATATTTAAACCTACATGTGTGCCCAAAATTAAATAAATAATGCTATCACCTTCTTAAAATGTTGAATCATAAAAAAACCTAATATATAACGATAATACAAATCACTGCTGTCACCTTATATAAAACAAAAGATATCTAATGTGAAAAAAAAACACCTTTCGCAGTGGCGTCGTGAACACTAAACCAAAAAACATGCACATAAAATATAAATAATTAAAAAATGTTCTTGTTAACATAAGTCCATCATATCAAGTAAGTGCCACATTAAGTGCTCCAATCTTCTTGCCAGTTTACATCCCAAAACAACACCAGCAAATGCTCGTGAGACAACACTCCCTTCTGGGTGTTCACTCACCAGACCCACATTCCTTCCACTCTCTCATGGTTGGCATGTATTGCTTGTTGAGATTTCACTTAAGGGCACCGCTTTGTATACCTTCATAAACCTCCTTACTCCTCTCCACCCAATATTATTTCCATGGAAAGATAAAAACAATCTCCAAGGGTACAGTAACCAATATTCAAAATTGTATTTACTTAAAATGAAAAGCCACTCACAAAATAAATAAACTAAAATCGCTCATCATCATATCACTGTGGATTGACATCAGATGTGGTCATGTAAACTCTCACCACCGCCGGACCTCTTGGGAAAAAGACGCAGGAGCGTGAAATTGTCAAAAATGTCTTGGTATGCTATCACCTTAAAAGTTCCCTTCACTGGAACTAAGGGGACAACCCCACACCATAATCCCCCCTCCACCAAACTTTACACTTGGCACAATGCAGTCAGGCAAGTACTGTTCTCCAAACCCAGACACGTCCATCAGATTGCTAGACAGAGAAGTGTGATTCGTCACTCCAGAGAACACGTCACCACTGCTCTAGAGTCCAGTGGCAGCGTGCTTTACACCACTGCATCCGACGCTTTGCATTGCACTTGGTGATGGAAGGCTTGGATGCAGCTGCTCGGCCATGGAAACCCATTCCATGAAGCTCTCTACGCAATGTTGGGCTCATCTGAAGGCCACACCAAGTTTGGAGGTCTTTAGCTATTGACTGCTGACATTTGGTGCCTTCTGTGCACTGTGCACTTCAGCATGCGCTGACCCCGCCCTGTCATGTGACGTGGACTACCATTGTGTGGCTGAGTTGCTGTTGTTCCCAGTTACTTCCACTGTTATAACTGTTATACCACCACTAACATTTGACCGTGGAATATTTAGTAGCAAGGAAATTTCACAAATGTACTTATTGCACAGGCGGCAGCTTATCACGGTAACACCCTTGAATTCACTGAGCTCCTGAGAGCGACCCATTCTTTCACAAATGTTTGTAGAAGCAGTCTGCATGCCTAGGGGCTTGATTTTATACACCCGTGGCCATGGAGGTGATTGAAACACCTGAATGCAACGATTTGGAAGGGTGTCCCAATACTTTTGGCAATATATTGTATACAGTTAGGTCCATATATTTTTTAGTTTTTTTCAGGTATTTACCAAAACATATTCAAGTTATAGTTATATAATGGATATGGGCTGAAAGTGCACACTCTCAGGTTTAATTTGAGGGTATGTACATCCAAATTGGAGGAAGAGTTTAGGAATTACAGCTCTTAAGAGTAGCCGTCCCCCCTTTTTGCAAGGGACCAAAAGTAATTGGACAATTGAATATATCATAAATAAAATGTTAATTTTTTTATATTTTGTTGAGAAACCTTTACTGCCAATGACTGCCTGAAGTCTGGAACCCATGGACATGACCAAAGACTGGGTTTCCTCCTTTCTGATACTTTATCAGGCTCTAACTGCAGCTGTCTTCAGTTGTTCTTTTGTTTGTGGGTCTCTCTGCCTTTAGTTTTGCCTTCAGTAAGTGAAATGCATGCTCAATTGGGTTGAGATCAGGTGATTGACTCGGCCATTGCAGAATTTTCCACTTTTTTTCCTTCTAAAGCTCCTGGGTTGCTTTTGCAGTGTGTTTGGGATCATTGTCCATCTGAAATGTGAAGCTCCATCCAATCAACTCTATTGCATTTGGCTGAATCTGGGCTGACAGTATATCACTAAACACAAAGAATTCTGCTTCTGTCTTCTGTCACATCATCAATAAACACCAATGACCCAGTGACACTGGAAGCCATGCATGCCCATGTCATCACACTGCCTCCACCATGCTTTACAGATGACGTTGTGTGCTTTGGATCATGAGCTGTTCCAAGCCTTCTAAACACTTTTTTCTTCCTCTCATTCTTGTACAGATTATTCTTAGTTTCATCCGTCCAAAGAGAGCTTTTCCAGAACTGGTCTGGCTTTTTTAGATGTTTTTTGGCAAAGTCTAATCTGGCTTTTCTATTCTTAAGGCTTATGAATGGTTTGCACTTTGTGGTGAACCCTCTTTATTTGCCCTCGTGAAGTCTACTCTTGAATGTAGACTTTGACAATGATACGCCCACCTCCTGGAGACTGTCCTTCCCTTGTCTGGATGTTGTGAATGGGTTTTTTTTTTACCATAGAGAGGATCCTGCGATCATCCACCACTGTTGTCTCCCGTGGACGTCCATGCATTTTTATGCTGCTGAGCTCACCAGTGCGTTCTTATTTCCTCAGAATATACCAAACTGTTGATTTGGCCACTCCTAATGTTGCTGCTATATCTCTCTGATAGATTTGTTTAGTTTTTGAAGCCTTACAATGGCCTGTTTCACTTGCATGGACAGCTCCATGATGTAGGTTCACAGCAATAGATTCCAAATGCAAATACCACACTTAGAATCAACTCCAGACCTTTTACCTGCTTAATTGATGAAGAAATAATGAAGGAGTAGCCCACACCTGGCCATGAAACAGCTTTTGATTCAATTACCTAATTACTTTTCTTCCCTTGAAAAAGGGGGGATGGCTACTCTTAAGAGTTGTAATTCCTAAAGCCTTCCTCCAATTTGGATGTACATCCCCTCAAATAATTAATCCTGAGAGTTTGCACTTTCAGCCCATGTCCATTATATAACTATAGCTTGAATATGTTTTGGTAAATACCTGGAAAAAAAAAACTAAAACTGTGCCTGTGACCAAATATATTTGGACCTAACTGTATACACACACACGTAATAATCTAATATTTAGGTGTTCTTTTGGTTATTATTATTCATTTTTCCATCATTTAGATTTCTGAACCAAAGATATGGTACAGTTACCCATTGTACCATATTGTTCTTAAGCATATTCTGGCTGACCAAAACAATACAAATTACAGTATATTGGTCCTATAATATAGAAATTCAGTAAATCTGGATAGTGGGTTTGTAGGTAAGAATCTGAATAACTTAGAATGACTGAGCTCTGGCCACAGAAGTTTAAATCACTCCAAAATGTAGGTCCCAGCTCATTTTGACTATAATATACTAACCTTCATAAAACCATCCTTTTTTTTCCATATTACTCAATACATTTTGGCAAAATCATGTCAGGTGCATTTAGATATTTAAAAGACTTGCATTTGTTATATTTTTCTCTTTTCTGGTGTGATCTTACAACATGCCAACAGCCTGTTTTGTATGCCGCATTAGAGAAGATTTTTATATGAGAAACCAGAAGGCTATGATGCAAACTCTGAATTAGACCCCTTCATCACTCACACAATTTTACTTTGTGGTTTGGCACTAATTTCTATGTCTATACTTTGAGTTGCTTCCAAGTACCCGTTGAAGGAGACCTATGAGTTTGAGACCTGCCTCACCAGAATCAGTGAGCTTGTTTGATGATTTCCTTGTGTTTGTACCATTGGAATTTCTAGAGCCTTTTAAATCTGCTTTTTTGGAGTACACAGCACATTAAAAGCACCTTTGTGTGGTCAATGGTCTAACACACACGGGCAGCATATGAGGAATTCATTAGTGGCATTAGAAACTTGCACACAAAATTGTCACTATTAAATTGTACAGCTCTTCTGGCCACCGCTCATCTAACAGACCTGAAGAGATGTGTTGGATGTCCTAGGCTCATGTGTATTCCATATTAATTGAAGAACGACAGAAACAGATATGTCAACTATTCAACATGTCATATCAAAAAACATTTTTACATTGATAGCATTTGTCTTGTAGATTATCCTGAATTCAATGCACAAGTATCAGCCAAGGGTCCATATTATCAAGAAGAAGGACCACACTGCATCTCTACTGAATTTAAAATCAGAAGAATTCAGGACATTTATCTTTCAGGAAACTGTTTTTACCGCTGTCACAGCCTATCAAAACCAATTGGTAAGTTCATCTTCACACAACAATGGGGAAGTGATTACTCTCATATGATACAGATCTCATCAGATACAGAATTGCTATAATTACAACATCTAAGATTTTTTTGTAGATAGTGCTAAAGAGTAGCAAATAAAAGCCCATTTTTAAATTAAATTTCTTCTCAGTGCTCCTTTATCGGTAATGAAGTCATGTCAAGGCATATTACAAATATCCAGGGGTGTAATTAATGAGTGTTGGAGAAAAAGCAAGCAAATTCCCGTGGATAAAAACATCACTATTCATAAATCATTTGAATAAGTACGTTTTCAGCCTTTTCACTTCTGTTGCTAAGGGTATGATTCAATTTACTTTTTCATTATTAGATAAAGGATAAACACATTACATTTTCAACAAACTATCTCATGATTTTGGATTTAAAGGTCAGGTTTCAATCTAAGTAGTCAAACCACAATGACAGAGTTGAAGTGCAGGTCAAATGACATGCTTTAAGATGCCTTTTGATAGATATTTATATTTATTGCTCTTTGGGCCAAACCATACATAGCCAATGCTTCCAACTTGTACAAACATACTTAATAAGGCCTAGTTTTTAAATAAAATTCTTCATAAAAATATAAAGTTTACAATATGCAAAGCCTATTTAGATTTCAGGTTGTCCATCAAAAGCTTTCACAATCCATTTTATCCTGTTTATATATATGTAATGTTTATTATAAATTATGTTAAAAAAATGGATTGAAGCTTACACAAAATATTAAACAGAATTAACAATTAATTTTTTGGATTGCATTTACATTTCAAACCATATGTAAATGGATATTCTGTCTTGATTCCAACGTTTAAGTACACTCACAAACTCTTTAAAAGTAAATAAATGTAATTAATTAAGAACCCACAAAAAAGACCCAAGCTACGTAATATTCGATGTACCGTAAGTGGAATACTGTAGTAAGTGAAATGATCTCGGGCATTTGGCCTCTCCTGCAGTACAGTGACAAGAAGCACTTCAGTGAGCGAAAAGTATAGACAAATTAATTAAAGTATACTTAAACCTAAGAAGAAAAATATTATATATTGCAGCTTACCAGTCCATACTGTTCACAGATGTAATGACTGCATTCTTTTTTCAAGCTAAGTAAATTTTCTGCAAGTACAGCAAAATGTCTGCTCATTCTACCAAATGGATATCTCAAACAATGTTATCAGCAGGGGCGGACTGACCATTTGGAAACTCGGGCACTGCCCAAGGGCCTGGAGTCAGTAGGGGGCCCCATGAGATGCCCCTGGTACCTTTTTCATAGGCTTTTTTGAGTTTGGGCAAGGACACAAGGGCCCCATGATCCCCTATTGCCCGGGGGCCCCATGAGTTGTCAGTCCACCCCTGGTTATCAGCTAGCCATTTTATGGAACTACAATATATGCACTCTCCATATATAATGGACATAAGAAAAGGAGATGTTTGAAGTCCAAATCAGGAGAGCAGCATAGGGTGGCAATGCTGCTCCTCCATAGATACAGTTAAAAAGAAAGTCAATGCTAGGAGGAGAAGGTCTGGGGGAATGGAGGATGGAAAAGGATCTGGACCTAGTAGATGACAGACCTGGCAGTCACATGCAATGCCAAGCTGCAGCAAACAAGGTCAAAAGACTATTAGCATGCATTAAAAAGAATATTTACTAAAGAGACAAAACTATAATGCGGCCACTTTAGAAAACTCTGGTTTGTCCACATCTTGAGTATGTTGTCCAGTTCTAGTCACCAATCCTAAGGAAGGATGTCTTTGAACTGAGAGGGCAACAAAGCTAACAAGGGAGACGGAGGACCTCAGTTGTGAGGAACGACGACAAAAATGAAACTTATTCTCCCTGGAGAAGTGAAGCTTACGTGAGAATATACAAATTTTCAAATGGAACTCTAGCATTGTGAGGACTTTTTAATCTTAGGTCTCTAAAATGGATATGCAGCCACACAATGAAGTTCAATGAGAAACACTTCAATCTTAAACTATGTAAGGTGTTCTCTACTGTTAGGGCAATAAGGATATGAAATTCCCTTCCACAGTTGGTGGTGTCAGCGGGGAGTGTAGATAAGTTCATAAACATTTAGATGTGTTTCTTAGTGAACACAATGCACAGGGTTATTAACTACTTGAAGAACGCCCAATAGCAGCTTTACTGCTACAGGGCAGATTCCTTGCGCAAAATCACGTATATAAACGTGACCCACACTCCCAACGTGTTTACAGGCAGGGGGCGCACTTGCTTGCTCGCTGGCTTGGCGGTCCTGTGATTTGGATCAGCACCGGTCACTCACCAGATCAAGGTCAATGTTGTTTGGACTAGAGCTGCTGATCAGTTGTACCGAATCAGAGCTCATCCTGGGTCTGAGTTTACAGAACACAGGCACAGGAAATGATGTAATCTTCTCCACATTCTGTTCCAGAGAGAAAAGAACAGATCCACGTGAGTCAAAGCAGCACGCTGACACAGTAAAAGCAGTTAGGTCACATTTAACCCCTTCGTCATCCCCCAGTTAACCCTTTCACTGTCCTGTCACCAGTGTGATTAATACAGTGTACAGATTTTTTTACTGATCACTGTATTAGTGTCACAGGTGACTTCAGGTAGTATTAGTGTCAGTTAGCATCCCTCCCAGACAGCGTCAGATTGCCCGCCACTACATTGCCATCACATTTAACCCTTTGATTGTCAGGAACATGCTCACATACACAATAAACCTCCATTAATAGTATAGCGTCTGAACGGATCATAATCTTTGATCAGATCAGCACTATACCAGCTTTTACAATAGTATAGTGTCCCCGAAAAATGCAGTGTTTTCAGGATCAGCCCCGACACCTGCCAGCATCTGCGTTTAGTTGTCACTTAAATTATATATTGCTCACACATGCCATGGGTATTTGTGAAATTACACCTTAAAAATACATTCTGCAACTTCTTCCGTGAGACTTTGTGGCAGTCTAGCCACATACAAGACCCTAAAATCCAGAACTGGATGGACCAGTGTCTTTCTGTGTAAGAATGCAGCCACCACATCTAAGGAATGGAAGGCGTTAAGATATTACATTTTATTTTTGTTTTTAAATCTGCTTTATATGTTGTAAAATGTATTTGAAAGATGATAAAAAAATACACAGCCATATTGCAGCATCACACTAACATGCCCCCAAAAAGGACACAAGGGAAGTAATAAAAAAATAACATATGCATTACAATTGTATTATTTCTGCATACAAGAATTCAGTACAATATATGCAGTAAAACTGTGCAATCCATTCACATTTCTCCATGGTTTATCTCTTTAAAAATGCTGCAAGTACAGAAAAATATCTGTTGATGTTACCATTAAGCTCCACTGCTGAACTGAAATCCCAAGCAGTGCTATCAGCCCTGCCTAGTTCTTCTTTTCTGGGCTACAGATACCCCCTTGAAGTTATGAATATTAGCAGGAATAGGTGTTCCGTAATTCAGCACAAGAATTATTATCTCAAACAGATAGTTAAGAGGACACTGGATTTCAGCAGGAATATTTGAGTACTTGGTGTGTTTTTAAACATGGAGAAATGTGCATATATTGAGAAACCTACTGCCAGTTTTGTTATTTTTATTTTACCTATGTGGGCATTTTAACTGCGTTGGTATTGGTCATACTGCTATATTGGTCTGTATATTACAATATTCAGAGGGTAACTAAATTATACACACTATGATTTTCATAGTAACAAATAATTGTTAGATTTAACTGAACTGTAGACATTTGAGCATTTGCTTTCTTATATTAAGAACAAATATTATTCTCCTAGAATGGGAAGCTTTCTCAGTAGGCATAAAAAACAAAGGCATAAAAAAAATTGTTATAAATTGTTGTGGGCTTACAAAAAAAGAATAATGTAGTATTTCTAAGAGATAATATAAAAAAGGAAATAATAGTGGGAGTTTGTGATTTTATGAGGGTTAATTGTTTGTAGGATGGTTGGGAGTGGTGCCGATGTGTCAGACCTGGAGCCATTGTGTGGCCTTGTCTTTATAGATAACCAAACTGAAAATTGACAGTAACCCTTTCGCCAAAGGATTCCGGGACTCCTCCAGGCTCACTGATATTGAGAGGTAATTAGAACTGCATGCTTACATAAATGATAAGATAAAGTAATGGTATCTATGTCTCTTGCTTTTCATTCTCCAAAAGTACAAGTTTAGAAGTGATACACATTTTATTCCCCATTCTTTCCACGTTGCTTTTTAAAATTAATAATTACAAAAGGATGTTTAAAATTAATTACATTTTGAATTTAAATTTGCATTATTAATATCTATAATTTTATTTTATTTTTTTGTAAAAAAAAGTTTCTCTCATCTGGAAATATATTAGCCATTTCAACATGTTTAGGGCTGATAACAACAGGATCACAGTTAGGTCCGTGCAGTCCTGTTAGTTGTGTTACCAGTGGGCTGGTGTTTAAAGTGTTACTAAACCCAGGACTCTGCATTCACTATATCTGGTACACAGAACATGGAAATGCAATTATTTTAGTAAATATAAACTGCTAAATACCTTTTCTCATCAGTAGTTACAGCAGTCTTGTGACTTCTATCAGTTCAGCTGAGCAATGGTTAAAGCTTGTAGAAGGAGTTTTCTTTCTGGTCTAGGAGGATGCAGAACCCCTTACCTATATCTGGACAGTGTTGATTGGACCTTCACTGATCACATGCACCCTCTCAAGAAAAAAAAAAAAACCTCTCTAGCATTACACACCTGAGCATTTGTAGAGTGTCTCCACACCATATGTCTTATCAGGAGATAAGAGGGGGGCACTGGAAGAAGGGGAAGATCAGAGAAGTCAGGATCAAACAGCATTATTACACAATGCGGAGGATTAACCCCTTAGGTTCCACACTGAGTTTAACAAACATGCTTTACTGCATCTACAGACTGATTTTACTGTTGTGAGTTTAGTTTTAAAGAAGTGGTCCAAAAAAGTGAGAGTGACCCAGAAATGTGGGAATCAAAGTGCATGTTAACCCTGGCAATAAACTTCTGTTTTTTGCTCCCTTTTAGTCTGTACCATGTAAAGTGGGGTTTTTTAATCTGTTTGATAAGTGCAAAAAAAAACTTTTTGATCTTGTCATAAATTCAGAGCTGTCCTGTGTCTTGTTCATTCTTCATTCAGTATATGAAGGACCCCTTCCAGTTCTTTTTCTTGGACTACAGAACAATTAATATCTATGTTGTTAGCTGTGGAAGGGAAAATGTTTCAGTAGTTTTAACAACAGACAACAGGACAACACTGACATTATTCCTTGCTATCTCACTCAAGCAATAGACATGTTTTCCATAAGAGGAAATTAGGAGCTGAATGCATTTCGAGCAAATCAACATGTATTTTTCTGTACTGGCAGAGTTTTAAAACAACTATATCCTAGATGAGTCAATGTATGGACCCCAAGCAGAGCCCCAGGAATATGAAAATGGTCATTTTAATTCTCTGTCTAGAGAGCCTCATCACAAACATCAAAAAATAGGGGTTCATCTGAAGTATTGTTTTTTTTAAACAAATTTGCTGGAATCTAAAAGCATTATTGTGTGGGCAGTTATTTCGTACCACAGATAGTTTCTAAGTGAAGGGGAAAAAAATTAATCATTTGTCATATTAACATCAAAGGTCAATATTGTTCATTCTATTAAAAAAGGTCAGTAACTAAAACATTCAGATAACTGAGATTTGAAAAAGGTCATAACAAGTATCTTTCAAACCATGCACATTTGAGGAAAATTGCTATACTACGTTGGACCAGAACATAATACAGTTTGTTTAATCAGGAAATACACATATATACATTATTTACAGCAGCCAATGCATTTTGCACATATTGTGCCTGGCTCCAGATCCCACTTGGAATATTATCTGCTATGGTGGTAAGAGGGAAGATTTACTGAATGAGTAGGGACTGTTCAGTATGCAAAGTGAACTCTCACTGAGCTTAGTAAAATTCATGACTGAAAAAGACGCATTGAAATATGCAGTGTGGTGCTGGGACAATAAAGGCAGATTTTGATCAAACTGTCTGATGAACTGTTTGCCTGATGCAGTCTAATTAACACAACGGTAAACATTATGATTTATTAAAATTACATAGATTTTTTAAAATTACAAATTATAAATACAAATTAAAATGTAATTTTTTCAGAGAGGGCACACAGAATTATTTTGCAGACTTGCTCCACAGTATGTAAGCATTTTTACAAGGCTGAATTTTAAGAGAGAAAAAACAGACAACTTTGTCGTGTTTTCTTTCTTCTTTTTTACCCTTTTGCCTTTTCTGCATCCTATTCTCTTTCTTGTCTTATATATCTTCGTCTTCTGTTTCTTTTTCTCGTTGTCTAAAGCTGGTCATAGACGAATTGAAATTTTGCCAGTTCAACAGAAACCGCAGCAGCAGTGATCATTGTATTCTGACAGCAGAAAAACTCCCGCTGTCATAATACGCACAGTAGCACAGCAGTAGGGATTTCATACTGTGTTGATGAGGAATCAAGTGATTTTCTTACCTTTGGCCCATGTTTGCATAATGTATGGTCAGCCTTAGCTTTCTCCCGTAGTCTGATTCCTTTTTAACACCCCCGTCCTCTATTCTCCTCTATGTTCTATAAATTCTAAAATCAGGGACCATACAGGTCAAGTTTGTGTATATTCAGGAAGTGAATGTCTCTTTCATTAAGAATCTAACCCTTGACACATTATAGAGCAATAGACTCCATTGTAACTTTTGTATGCTAATGCAGTGTTTCTCAACCTTTTTTCAATCAAGGCACCCTTTAAAATTATGGACAATCTTGAGGCATCCCATTTAAGAATGGGGTGCCTCAAGACTGTCCATAATTTTAAAGGGTGCCTGGGGACTATCCATAATCTTAAAAGGGCACCCCATTCTAAAATGTGAAAAACGATTCTAATAGTTTTATATAACGCAGCAACATCCACGCATGTGGGACTTCCAACGTTAGACGATTTATTCTTTCAGAGCAAACACACTTCTGCACACTGGTGCTGACTAGTATTCCAGTGTTTCTCTTCCCCCTCAGTTTTTCTCCATCACTGACGTAATGTGGCCCCAGCACTGATGGAGATGCATTTAAATATGCAGTGAGGTGCTGGGACAATAAAGGCAGATTTTGATCAAACTAGTATGCTGAGTAGGCAGCGGACATCCTCCTTATCAACTGATGATGCCATTGGTTGTCAGGAGACCAGTGGCTAGAAGGTCGTAAATGGTGCGCAATGAAAACCTGCAACTTTGTGTAACTAAAAAGGCGGGCTTGTTCCACTCGCTAGCTTGTATACAAATGTTGGGCAATTTGTAGACATTTTGACAAGGCACCCCTAAAGAAACCTCAAGGCACCCCAGTTGAGAAAGGCTGTGTTAATAAACTGGACATAGTTTCTATGAACATGTACTGTATAATACCTTGGCTGTATGTGTTTGTTATTGCTTCAGCTGTGGCTGAGGATTTGTAACTTCTGTGTATCTTTTACATACTCTCTTGTATCTATGTCCTAAATATAAAAAAATAGAAATATAAAAAAAAATAACGAAAAAGTTCACACAAACTATGTGAGGTGCTTTAGTAGACCACAATTGCACAGGTAGACAACAGGCTGGTTTATTATGAAAAAAAATCAAAATTAAGTGTTTTATTTAACAGAAAAAAACTAAGAATATTGTATTTTTATTTATTGTACTTTTTGCTAGGTGGCATTTTGAACAAGGACAGTCAGCTTTTAATAAAAAAAAAATCCAGTAGTTAAACATAAAATTAGGTTGTAATTGGCAAATCAAAATGATATCCCCCCTGGGAAAACACTCTGGGATGTCTCCCAAATCTGCCATGGAAGCAGGCAAAACACAGTGAGAGGAATTTACTAAGACTAGATCAGCAAAAATATGGAGCTGCTGCACATATCATCTAATCAGCTTTCATTTTAGCTTTCTAGTATTCGAGCTTTCATTTTCAAAGCCGGGGGCGGACTGACCAGTTGGAAACTCGGGCACTGCCCGAGGTCCCGGGGTCAGTAGGGGGCCCCATGAGATGCCCCTGGTACCTTTTTCATAGGCTTTTTTGAGTTTGGGCAAGGACACAGGGGCCCCATGATCCCCTATTGCCCGGGGGCCCCATGAGTTGTCAGTCCGCCCCTGTTCAAAGCTTAACTGAATAAGTTGATAAGTTATGCTCAGCTGCTCCAGAGTCTTCCTGCTCTAGTTTTAATAAATCCCACCACAGACAGTGAGTATAGTATGTGCATCAATCTAAATATGGAAATTTGCAGCAAAGACTAGCATGAACCTTCCTCCTTCCCCCAGAAATACTCTCTAACCTCCCCCTAATCTGGTATAGCACTGTACACTATTAGTTTGAGTGTAAATATAGGTAGACGTTTTCAGTTATCATCACCAGCATCTAACCCTCCCTGGAAACCCTCTAAGATCTCTCCATACTCCCTGGAAACACACTAAGATCTCTCCATACCCCTGGAAACCCTCTAAGATCTCTCCATACTCCCTGGAAACACTCTAAGATCTCTCCATACTCCCTGGAAACACTCTGAGATCTCTCCATACTCCCTGGAAACACTCTGAGATCTCTCCATACTCCCTGGAAACACTCTAAGATCTCTCCATACTCCCTGGAAACACACTAAGATCTCTCCATACTCCCTGGAAACACTCTGAGATCTCTCCATACTCCCTGGAAACACACTAAGATCTCTCCATACTCCCTGGAAACACTCTAAGATCTCTCCATACTCCCTGGAAACACACTCTAAGATCTCTCCATACTCCCTGGAAACACTCTAAGATCTCTCCATACCCCCTGGAAACACTCTGAGATCTCTCCATACTCCCTGGAAACACTCTGAGATCTCTCCATACTCCCTGGAAACACTCTAAGATCTCTCCCCCTGGAAACACTCTAAGATCTCTCCATACTCCCTGGAAACACTCTAAGATCTCTCCATACTCCCTGGAAACACTCTAAGATCTCTCATACCCCCTGGGAACACTCTAAGATCTCTCCATACCCCCTGGAAACACTCTAAGATCTCTCCATA